GGGGGGGGGGTATACAGCCTTTCCTAAATATGGGGGGGTCACATGATTGTCGGAATCAGTACAACTTACAAGCAGAGACGTCACATGGGCGACACCATCTGAGGGGGTGACACCATCAGACTGGCCGTCATTTTGGTGTCACCTCTCCCCCCCTCTGAATAGTCGAGCACTCGGTCATGGATCGACAGCTGCATGAGAGAGGGCGCATGGCGTTATTACACACGTTCGTAATGAGGTCACACGTGTGTAATGACGTGTCACCGGGTGACACCCAGCACAGTGACGCCTCTGCTTACAAAGTACAGGTGGCCTCAAATGTGGCCCCTGATATCCCCTTAGGGCCGCAGATGATATTAAATTGCTACAAAAGACATTCATAGGCTGAAGACTTCCTATAAAGGCTCCTTTACCAAGCAAAGCTTCACTTGCTGGGGCCCGAGGGCCACACTTCAAACACCCAAAGGAGCCACATGCTTTCCTTGGACCACAGGACGGGCCCCAGGGGCCTAGCAGGTGGACTGTGTCTTTAAGGCTGAGGAGGCGTGTTTCGTGTGGGATGAGGATTTGGCAGGTCTGGTCTACTGTGTTCCGGATGATGTTTGCGTGTAGATGAGGGAGCCCGGGGCCAGTGACGTGTCAACACACATCTGTCACGTGTCTACCCCACCAGTGATGAGGGACATTCAGGGGCCCAATCTGGCTAAAGGGGGACTCCAGGCATGGGATGTCATGTCACCCACATTCAGGGGGGTTGTTCTGGTGGACACCGGGGTGCTTTACAATATAGATCTACCAACAACTATGTGGTGCCGCCGGGGCGATTGGGCGGAGTGCCAGGGCCGGCCTGATTGGGTAGATTTGGCGAGTCCTCACATGACATCATTTTGGTAAAGTGATTGTACGGTGATTGTGATGTGTAATAAGATTGTAGCGTATGTCAGTGTCGGTCGGCGGCGCTCTTATCCTGTCAGTGTCGGTCGGCGGCGCTCTTATCCTGTCAGTGTCGGTCGGCGGCGCTCTTATCCTGTCAGTGTCGGTCGGGGGCGCTCTTATCCTGTCAGTGTCGGTCGGGGGCGCTCTTATCCTGTCAGTGTCGGTCGGCGGCGCTCTTATCCTGTCAGTGTCGGTCGGGGGCGCTCTTATCATGTCAGTCGGCGGCGCTCTTATCTGTCAGTGTCGGTCTTTACTTTCTGTGACAATTTACATTTTTGGAAGCTCATAACGATCGTTATCACCGTCCTGTGCTGTATTTTGCCCAATAAATCTCCTCACAATGACGGGACAAGTGTGGAGAGGGACCGGCTCCTCCCAGAAGCCTCCACCTGAAGGGGCCCCTGTGGCAGGCTGTGGGTGGAGGGGTCCCTGTGGCCCTCGGGCTCCCCCCGGCTCACCTGAGTGATGATGGTGTCCTCCAGCCAGCAGCTGGTGTTCTCTCCGGTGTTGTTCCCGCAGCCTCCCCCGGGCTCTCCTCGGCATCCCCCGGGCGGGCTGTGTGAGGAGAAGGCCAGAGCCAGGAGGACATTGGGCAGCCAGGAGGCCGCACACACCAGCCGGGTGTAACGGCCGAAGCCGCCCGACAACGGCCACACTTTCCCTTCAAAGTCCATGTGTGAGTCCGGAGGAGAGAGCCGGGAGGAGGAGGGTGAGGATGGCCGGGGAGGGGCAGAGCCCGGAGCAACAACCTGCTATTGATTCTGTATGACAGGACAGGAGCTCCGTGTACACCCCCCACATATCACTTGGCGAACTACAACTCCCAGCATGTCCTCATTGTCCCTGTACACCCCCCCCATATCACTTGGCGAACTACAACTCCCAGCATGTCCTCATTGTCCCTGTACACCCCCCACATATCACTGGGCGAACTACAACTCCCAGCATGTCCTCATTGTCCCTGTACACCCCCCACATATCACTTGGCGAACTACAACTCCCAGCATAAAGCGTGATTTGCATGCAGGCTGAGAGGCGTGTGATGAAATCCATCCACACGGAAACCAGTTCTGCAATCGGGGACATTGAGGACAAGGAGCGGTCGGTTCTGAGTGCTGCTTGTATGATATTCGGTGGCCGGCGTGACAAAGGGAAACATAAATCACGTTCTTCTCGTCTCTGATATGCGGGCCATGATACACGTGTTACACTCCCGGGGGGAGGGGGGACTGGGGGGTGCACACAGCGCCCTGCCCCTATCTGAAGGATGACACGGACACATCACCGTAACATATGAATTATCATAGAAAAGAGTTTAAAGACGAATAACAGAAACCCCCCAAAGTCTTAGGGAGCCCATTCACATGTATGTGTATCTGCAATTCACGGCCAGGCGTGTAGTGAGTGGCACCCTAACACACAATGCAGTACATGCCAATGGCATCACACACATGTCTGGTGGCTTCCCAATGTGTTCTCTTTGTGGCTGCTGACCATTTATAATGAATGGGGTGCCATAGGACAGGCGGTGGACTGTGATTGGGAGAGCGGGCTCTTCATGTTATTTTCTTTTACAATGTTACTTGGATTGATTTGGTAGATGGCAGTATACAGCATGACTCAGACTGGGAGCCAATCAGGTGTGCTGCATGGAGCATGTGACAAGGAGCAGGCTGATTGGACGGTTTGCAGATGTTCAGGAGGCCATACTGCCACTTTCTAAAATCCGGTTCTGGTGGGTTTTTTTTTACATTGCAACTGCATGCCGAAGAAAAACTGCCTCTCCAGCAAAGCATCGCGCCCGAGGGGTGTGCCGCGGTGACCCCGTCAGGTTCCAGGTCACACGCTACAGAATACTTTAAAGTGTATTTCCATTTTCACAGCCAGATTTAGATCACGCCGAGTTCACATACACTATATTGCCAAAAGTATTGGGACGCCGGCCTTTACACGCACATGAACTTTAATGGCATCCCAGCCTTAGTCCGTAGGGTTCAATATTGAGTTGGCTCCGCCCTTTGCAGCTATAACAGCTTCAACCCTTCTGGGAAGGCGTCCACAAGGTTTAGGAGTGTGTCTATGGGAATGTTTGACCATTTGTGAGGTCAGGTACTGATGTTGGAGGAGAAGGCCGGGCTCGCAGTCTCCGCTCTAATTCATCCCAAAGGTGTTCTATAAGGTTGAGGTCAGGACTCTGTGCAGGCCAGTCAAGTTCCTCCCCCCCAAACTCCCCCATCCATGTCTTTATGGGCCTTGCTTTGTGCACTGGTGCGCGGTCATGTTGGAACAGGAAGGGGCCATCACCAAACTCCTCCCACAAAGTTGGGAGCATGACATTGTCCAAAATGTCTTGGTATGCTGATGCCTTAAGAGTTCCCTTCACTGGAACTAAGGGGCCAAGCCCAACCCCTGAAAAAGAACCCCACACCATAATCCCTCCTCCACCAAACTTTACACTTGGCACAATGCAGTCAGGCAAGTACCGTTCTCCTGGCAACGACCAAACCCAGACACGTCCATCGGATTGCCAGACAGAGAAGAGTGATTTGGCACTCCAGAGAACACGTCTCCACTTCTCTAGTGCTTTACACCACTGCATCTGATGCTTTGCATTGCACTTGGTGATGTAAGGCTTGGATGCAGCTGCTCGGCCATGGCAACCCATTCCATGAAGCTCTCTATGCACTGTTGTTGTGCCAATCTGAAGGCCGAACACGAAGTTTGGAGGTCTGTAGCTATTGGCTCTGCAGATAGTTGGCGACTTCTGCGCACTGTGCGCTTCAGCATGCGCTGACCCCGCTCTGTCATTTTACGTGGACTGCCACTTCGTGGCTGAGTTGCTGTTGATCTAGTTGCTTCCACTTTGTTATAATAACACTAACAGGAGACTGCGGAATATTTAGTAGCAAGGAAATGTCACGGATGGACTTATTGCACAGGTGACAACCTATCACGGTACCACGCTTGTAGTCACTGAGCTCCTGAGAGCGACCCATTCTTTCACACGTTTGTAGAAGCGTCTGCATGCCGAGGTGTCTCATTTTATACACCTGGGGCCATGGAGGTGATTGGAACACCTGAATCCAATGATTTGGAGGGGTGTCCCAATACTTTAAGCAATATAGTGTGTGTCTCCATTCACATCACTTCAGCTAAAACAAATCTTTACTAAATGCTTCTTAAGGGTTACAACTTCTACTTCTCTTCTCCTTACTGTGTAATATTGGGAGGGGGTAGTGAGGGGGGTTTGTTCATAATTGCCTATGACACTGCCAGTCCTAACAAAGGGTTAAAGGATTACAACCCGGGCTGCTGCATTGTATGTTAATGAGAGAAACACAATCCTCTAATTTCAGTCCTTGTTCTATAGGGACAGATCACTGTGAAGGTGCTGAGGAAAAACCTGGAATCGGCCATCTTACCGGCTGAAATACAACATCTAAAAAGGTAAGAACTAGATTTGTTTGAATCATTTTTCTGTACGCCGTGTGAATGGAAAGACACACAGACAGACAGACAGACAGACAGACAGTCAATACGGGCAGAAGATCCGTGTTTTGTACCATTAAATGAGGCCTTGAAGTGCAACAAGACCAAACAGTTTTTTTTGGATGGAGTGGAGAGGAACCCCTGTCAGGTTTTTATTGCTGGATGTGTCCCCTCTCTACTGGTCCTGGTGACCATCATATGTGAGCGTGTCACCAGAACAGGAATATGCGGGGAATTGTCCTATTGCGTAATGACATTTATTCCCAGAGCGCATTGCATGAGGAAACTTTCACAAAGCTGCTCATCCAATATTGACATTTCTTCTCTCTGTGTACTGACTTGTTAAAGTGACCGTCTTGGAATGGAAAGCCTTGAGGTGAAGTGTTCGTGTTGCTGGGTGACACCGCAATCTGCTTCACCCCCCAGAAATACCACAAACCATTCCATTCTATACAATGCAGACAAGGCTGGAGCTTCCCAGGGACAAAGAGAAGCTGAGATAAAACTATTGTTTGTATCTAACCTTCCCTGGTCACCAGAACAGAACGTGAGGGGAAGTCACCTAGAAGCGCTAACCTTCCCTGGTCACCAGAACATGAAAACCTTTTTGTAATTTTGGATAGAGTGTTGAGGGGTCAGGTGTTTGTCACACTTTGATACCCCGATGTTGAATATCCGGCTAACTTCTCCCCCTCATGTTCCCCTTACATTTGCAGATTGGATTATGTGTATGGTCTATGCCTTGTCTCTGGATCTGTAGATCTTTAATGCTGCCTGCGCAGCTATGTCCCTACATAGATTTTCTGACTGGCTCCTTCGATCAGCTGATCAAGGGATGGCAGCCAGACAGCGGCACCCACTGAGCGAGTTTCACTGTCTGATAATAAAAAAATCTGAGAAAGTCAGCCCCGGTTATCAGTAGACCCGAGAATCGGCTGACCCCTAGTCCAGGCACACGAGAGCAGACATGTAAATAAGACTGAGGCACACTGACGGCACAGCTGGTTATTTGAGAAGTGTATATACATACTAATGGAATGCAGCAAGCATTGTGACCTCACAAGGGCCAATACAAACACTCGGGGCTCCTCACAAATGCTGCCCTTCAAGACACAAGGCGACTTGTATAACAAGTATTTCAGCTTGCTGCTGCGTTCTGCTCCCAGCAATTCCTGAGGACTCCAACGGAGAAGAAATTCCCCAGAAAATGTGCGTCAGGTTATATTCTTCACATTGTGATCCGCTTTGGTGTACAGAGGGCTGAGGAACCACATTGCCATATTAGATGTCTATGATGCAGAGGGGACACTCTTACCCCGTGCACTGTCGCTGTGGAGGTGCCATTGTGAGCTCTGCAAGCATTGACATAATGGCGCTGCTGTCATTACACCGTGGACTTTCTATAGCGGCCTCAATTACTTAAGGAGCGGCGTCTTCTCT